CTGGTGTTGGGTTAATGGGTTAATGTTGGACTTGTGGGCTTGGGCAGCATTGGGTTGGGATGTTTTCATGATGCACATTTTCTTTACATAAAACTCTCTCTTATACATGAGTTTCTGTGGATTTGTTTCTCCAAAGTACCCAGACTAATACACCAATCCTCTTGTCCTTTCAAACCCGAGCTGCCTCTGGAATCAGAAACTACAGGCTATAGGGAATACAGACATAGTTCTAGGATTAGGCCTGTGCAACCTTGGGCAAACCGACTGCTCTGGCATCATCTGTAGAACAGGGGACTGAACTAGAATGTTCTCCAAGGACTATTAGTTCTAACACCCAATGAATAAATGATCCTATGAGACACTGGTTTTTCAATTACGTGCTTGGCTACTAAAAGACACTAGAACCTCAGAGATTGAGATAGCAGCTGTGATTGAACACCACTACCCAATTTTAATATGCATACAAACGCCCTTGGAACCTTCTTAACGTGTGTGTTTTCATTTTCTAGGTATGGAACAGACCTAAGAGTCTATATTTCTAACAAGCAGCCTCCTCCCACTTCTGGTCCAAAGGCAATATTTTAAGTAGAAATGTATCTCCCAAATTTGACATTATAACAGTATCAAGTTACATATATATACACATACATATACATATATATATATCATAATATATAAGCATGGGTTTGCTTAGCTTACTTACTAATCTGCAGTGAACAATTTCACATGTTTTCATCAAATCAAAGATTCTGTTTCTAGGCATGGCTGGTATCTGTCTCTCTCCCAATGCCCAAATACTTTCCTATAGAATAAACACCTGTTCAAAGGCACAATCCCTGACGGGAATAGAGTACTCAGTAAATTAGGCAAGCATGGACTTACTAGTTTTCACCTACTAATCTGTAAGTTTTAGATGCAGGCTGTGTTTAAAAAGATACCCAGCTGACTATGGATGACACTGAGAATCCAAAATCCATTCCCAAAGTCCCAACGTGGATGCAGCCTCTAATGAATTCCCTCAGACCATTGACCAGTGACATAGACAGTCTTGTCCTCAGACAGAGTGCACTGGAAAGTCGGTTACTGCAGATCTACCTCGGTTAAAATGAAATAGCTTGCACTATTTACATTTTAACCCATTTATGATTTCTTCAAGGTTTTATTATTTTCTGATTTCTTTTGAATTAATATTTTCTGTGCTTTATTTTGTTGGTGGTGTTGAGGTGTTTGGGGGATATGATTTTCTTTCTAAAATCCAGGTAGGTAAATCTATAGAGATACTAACTAGGGCCTTTGGGTTATGAAAGGGAGTTTGGCAGGAAATAGGGAGCAAATGATAATAGATGCAAGAATGAAGAAAATTATCTAAAACTGATTGTGAGGGAGTGAGGGGGAAGATGCGTGTAGGGTAATAAGTACAGGAAGATCTCTTCAACTACAAAAGAAGTTTCACTGAAGAGGAATATCATACACTTCCTGGCAGCAAAAAGTTCAACTTAAAGAAAAATAAACCCAGGTTTGTTAAAGTAGCACAGTAGCAAAACCTATTGATGGATTCCCCTGTACCATTGGCCAGAGACACTAGCTGCTTCTGTGAAACCTGCTTCTGTCCAACACAGCCAATATTTCCCAGCCCCTGAAGCAACACAGCCCGCCAAGCCTCTTACTTTGCTGGTCGGTGGGAGATAGCTAACCCCTTGGTACAAGCATAAGCATTATTCAAGCTTAACTTTTCACCTTAATATTTTTTCCTTTCCTCCTTCTTTCCTGGTTGTTCACCAGTGCTCCCCCTCAACTTGCCCCATCTCCCCTACATAGCCTTCATGTAGACAAAATAACACAAGTAAAAAGCAAGAATCTCCACCTACAAGGAGGTTTTATTTTTTTACTTTAGTTTTCTTTGTTGCTGGTTTTTTTTTTTTTTGGTGGGGGGATACTGTTGTTTTATTATAATATCCTCATTATATTTTTGGAGTTTTGTCCATTTCCTTTTCCAGTGTGACCCCATGGTTTTGAAAATACCCTTCCCCTCAGGCTAAAGCTGGCAGTCCTTTAGATTCCAACAGACCCAAACAAGGGCTTTTGGTGTTGTTTTTTCCCTGTGAATGCACAGACACGTGCACATTCTTATTGTCATAACAATAGAAATTAGCACTCAGGTCAAGGCCACATGCAAGTCTTTTGTCTCTTTTGTGCTTTGTCTCCCTGCACATCCACCCTTTATGGTGTTCTCTTTCACTTTTTCCTTGTGCAATGTATTTCCATGGGAGGTATTAATTCTGATTACTGCTCTTAAAATACATTTTCCCTTTATTTTTACAAACTAGTTGACCTATTCAGACAGGTGCTTATTACTACTATAATTACTTTTATATTATACTTTCTCTTCATCCACACACCCCTACTTTCCTACTTTCCACAATTAATCATCTTTCTACCCATTTTACCATTCACCATCATATATTTTTCAGCTTATATTAGACCTCTCCAATGTTACTGAACAGAGGTGACTACTTCTACAAGACACAGCAGCTCACATTCCACTAATTGTTGTGTTTCAATGTCAAGGAAACAGATACTCCAGGCCTGACTCTAGACTAACTGCCACGAAGTTAATTCTGACTTCTATTGACCCTGTAGAACAACTAGAATTGTTTCAGTGGATTTCTAAGACTGCAAATCTTTACAAGAGTAGAAAGCTTCATCTTTATTCCATAAAGTAGCTGGTAGTGTCAAACTGCTTGTTAGTAGTCCAACAAATAACCCACTATACCACCAGACCTGCTGAATTATAATTGGAAGTTTTACCAAGATTTCCATGTGATGCCAATGCACATTAAAGTTCAAGAAAGACTGTCTTAGGTCTGGCTATAAACTCGAAAACACTAGAATCTCCTAGAGTTTTGGATTCAGCAGGTCTGGGGTGGGTTGGAGAATTTGCATTTCTAACAAGTTTCTAAGTGATGATACTGATAATGGTCCAAGGACCACACTGTGAGAACTGCTGCCCAACAAACCCAGAATAAAAGGACATACCCAAATCCTTTCCAGCTGAGAAAACTGATTACTGTCCACCGGAGTCAATAATGAAAGAACCACTTCCGTTCGGCAGGAGGCAGGGAATGGGACAGAAACAAAAACATAGATGGGCCTCTGCAAGCCTATGCCTAAAAATGTCAAGCACTTTGCTCAATGCTACAAGACAGACCCTAAACTAAAGTGGCAAGAATGTGCTAGCCTCTAGCTGCCTCAATAGCAATCCAAGTCATATGAACACCATCAAGTCAGTTCTAGGTCACTTACTAAGGATAACTCTAGGACTGCGCAAGAGAACGACAGATAAGGAGAACTAGTGAAAACAAAGCTGAGTACTCATACAAGGGATAAACCTTAAACCAAAATATCCCTTTAAGTCCTCTTTAAACCAAAAAGTAGTGTTGCTGTTGGGTGCCACTGAGTCAATTCTGACTCATATTGGCCCCATGTGGTAGAGCAGATCTTCCCCCATAGGATTTTCTTTGCTGTAATCTTTATAGAAGCAGATTTTCAGGTCATTCCCCTATGGAATCACTAGGTGGGTCCAAACCACCAGCCTTTTGATTAGCAGCCACGTATTTACCCAGTAAAAATTTACTTTCTGGGGTATTATGTTCTTTTAAAAACCTATCTATACTGGTCTGAGAGAGAACACAATAGACGGTCCTGGATAGAGTGTGACAAAACCATGGAACAAAACGGAGAAAAAAACAACAACAAACCCTGAAAACGAACAAACAAAAAAGACCAGGCTTACTGGTCTGATAGAGACTGGTGGAACTACTGAGACGATGGCTTTTGATCACTCTTCAGGTTTGGAACTGAATTTGCCCCTATGGCTCAACTTTCAGCTAAGCAATAGACAGGCATATTGAGTATATAATAACACTAGGGAAGTAGGCATGCCTTAGAACAATCAACCATATGAAATCAAAAGAGCAACATTGGCCCAGGGATAAAGCTCAGAAAGCAGGGGAAAAGGATGTATGAAAATGGTAAACAAAGTATGGACTGCTAACAATGTCATGAGAAAACTATATGACTGTTGACTGATAAACCAAATTACTCTCTAAACCTCAACTAGAAGTTAAAAAAATCTATATTTAATCCAATTAACAACAGCAACTTAAAAGGTCAAAGAAGTAGCTTATGAGGCAGTGAATTCATACTGGTGGTAGAGGAATCATTTGGAAAAGGAGTATGAAAATGGTTGTACAACTTGAAGAAATACTTAATATCCCTGAATTTTATATGTAGAATTTTGGCTGAATTTTTGTATGTTTTGCTGCTACAGTTGCAATGATAAAAAAATAAATATAGACCAGAACATGTATACTGGTACAGACAAAACTTGCAACACAGGGAATCCAGAACAGATAAGTGCCTCAGAACCAATAAGGGGAGCATCGATACTAGGAGGGTAAGGGTAGTGGGGGGTTGGGGAGTAAGGGGGAACCAATCACAATGATAAATGTATGCCCCCCATCCCAGGGGGGTGGACAACAGAAAAGTGGGTGAAATGAAACAGCGGTCAGTGTAAGACATGAAAAAAAAGAATAATATATAAATTATCAAGAGGATATGGGGGTGGGTGGGGGGAGAGAGGGAGGGGAAGAGGAGCTGATGCCAGGGGCTCAAGTAGAAAGAAAATATTTTGAAAAAGATGATGACAACATATGTTTAGATGTGTTTGACACAATGGATATATGTATGGATTGTGATAAGAGCAGTGAGAGCCCCAGTAAAATAAAAAATAAATAAATAAATCAAAAGGAAATTAATACATTTTAAAACTAATAAAAAAATTCACCATATGAACACTCCCTTGCACTTCTGAAATCATGTGACTCCTAAGGGCTGCAATGTATTCTTACCCACACAGGAAGCTGGTCTGCCACTCCAGGTCTTGCTGTCCATACATATGACTGTTCGCTCCCCTTTCAATGTGTATCCTGGGGAGCAATAGTACTCACACCTGGAGTTAAAGTAGGCACCATCTACACACTTAAACCCTCCATTTGCTGGCATGGCAAGGGTAGGGCATCGTTTTTCTGAAAGAAAACAAAAGAAAACTAGATAATAAATATTCAGCATTTCTCAATATTTGTTCAGGGATCTGTCCTTAATGGTAAGACACTCTGAGAGCATAGGGGAACTGGTTAATTTAAACATAATTAACATAATTTAAACATAATAGAGAAACAGGGACCGGTTGGATATGGCACATCCCAACTAGGACACTGCCTGACACTGGGTTCCCAGGAAGTAGACCTGGAGATGAAGGCTTGTGTGCAAGTGATTTCTTAAGAAAGCAATGGAAAAAGAGAAGCCAAATAAGGTAGACTCTCAAAGTCAACCTCAGTGTAATTCCACAGATTAGCTCTGGAGGATGACAGACAACTCAACATGTATCCTGACTTCAGGCAATAAAAGCTGGGCTTCCATAGGTCATTACCAAGTCAGCCTCTGGGCAGATATAGGTTGCCTATAGAGGATGCTCTCTCTTGCAAGAGCAGAGAGCAGTCCTCTGAAAGAGTGGATGATTTCATCCCTCTGAAGAAGGTCAAGAGTGCAAATCCTTGAAAGGAGAGTCCTCAGAAACCCCCAAAAGTGGTAAAGAGGGATCTAGAGAGAGATGAATTGAGCACCAACAGTGTCCACTACAGCCATCCAGCTGTATGTAACTGCACACACTCCACATGCTGCATTCCTGACCAAAAAAGTTTAATGACACCATTTCAACCGTGCTGTTGCAAAACTGAACGTATATGCTTGGGCTCAATAAATGGTGGCTGTTTTGAATAACATTAGCAACTAAAATGCTTCCATAAGGATGCTCCCTTGCAGCTAGTTTCCCAAGTGGGATATGTTTCATGAAGTGAAAAGTCAGCTGTGAAGTGCTCTCCTATCCCGAGACACACTCCTGTTCATGGAGTAGGCCTCACTTCTTTGCCAGCTCTTTCTGTTTCCACAATCCCCACCCTCTGGTGTGTGTGTGGGGGGGGGGAAGGCATCCCCTCCATCACTAACATGAGTCCATGACCTAGCTCCCTTCTTATACTTCATTCGCACTTGACGCCTCTGCCGTGATGATTCTGATGATCCATTTGGGGGCTTCTAAACGTTCATGGACAGTTGAATTGAATGATAATGAAATTTCTCCAGGAACCTTCTGAAGCATTCTTGTACCGTGAGATTTTTGACAACAAATCTCTTGAGCTGTATCTTATTGTTTCTAATGCCCCCTGTCTCTTCAGAGTGCAGCACTGAATGAAGAAATATAATCTGTTGGCTGCACAAAGCTCTGCTTTTTACCATCCCCATGATCACACACTTCTCTCTAAAAGGGGTTATCTCAACTCCACCCTGAACCCTTCCTACGGCTTCAAATGACAAAGGGAGTTTTTCCTCAACCAAGACCGCACCCAGTATGTTCAGTGTAAAGCCCCGTCTTAGAACAAAAGAATGTTGGCTCCGAGGAGGCCCAACAGGGATGGGGTACTCACGTTTGCAGATGACTTTGTCCGACCACCGTTTGTTTGACTGGCAGATCAGCTGAGAAGGGCCATGTAGCTCATAGCCCTTCTGGCAGCGAATGTCACACCTGGCTCCCAACGCTGTTTTGTAGTATCCTCCTTGAGGGGCCCTGCAGTACACATCCCCATACTTCACTTTGATGGGGGAACACCACAGGGTGTCTGCGGGTGACAGAAACCAGAGAGGAAGTGACAACTTCAGAAAATGTGTCTCCTTATACTTGCAGTCCCTGCCTTGACATTCCAGATTTTTGACCACCCCCAATAGGCCCCATACCTTTCAATGGATGGTTTAGTTAAAATCATGTCAGACATGTGAATGGGGACCCAGGCTCCTCCACCACTAACTGTATGCTCCTGGACAAATTACTTAACCTCTCCGAGTCAACACCTACACACCTATGTCATAGTGCTGTTACAAGGACTAAGAAAAATAATGCATACATCTAAAGCAGCCAGCACAGTGTCTCGTGAACGCATGTTCTTTTTAGTAGCTAATTCTCTTAAGGACAATTAATATCATTGTGAGCCTCTACCCCTGGTGGCATAGTAGTTACACTTTGGGCTGCTGCTCTCAAGGTCAACAGTTTGCAACCACCAGAGGCTTTTCAGGATAAAGATGAGGCTTTCTACTTCTGTTACCATCTCAGAAACCCATAGGGGCCATTCTTTCATGATCTATGGGGTCTCTATGAGTGGGAACAGACTTCATAGCAGTGTTTTTTGGTTTTGTTTTTAGGAAAACCACCATCCATACAAAATGGAATCAAAACCAAACTCACGGCCATCTAGTAGCTTCGTGACTCATTGAGAGGTTAGATAGATTTCTAAGACTTTACGTGTTTATGAGAGCAGAGAGCCTCATCATCCTCCCTTGGACGCAGCTGGTGGGTTTGAAATACCAACCTTGTGTCTAGCAGCCCAAAGGCTAGTCCACAGTAGCACCTAAAACCTCAAATGAAACTCACTATCAGCCAGATGACTCATAGCAACCCTACAAAACAGAGTAGACTGCCTTTGTCGGTTTCTGAGATTGCAAATCTTTAGGGTAGTAGAAAACTTCATATTTCTCCTAAGCAGCTAGTGGATTCATAGTGATAACCTTTTGGTTAGCAGCTTGCTAACCAACTCTGCAACTCACTAAGTCACCAGTGCCTTCCACACGTGGGAGGGGCCAGTAATCAGCCAATTTGAATTTTTCTCGGTCTGTGAAGGGATGCCCCAAAGAAACTAAAATTGTTTTCAAAGCTATGTGTTTTGTTAGTTTGCTTGTTTTTTACAAAATAACCTATCACCTTCAAAGTACTCTCCATTACACTTAATACACTGGTCAAATCTGCGATTCCATTCTTGGAAACATTTTTCAAACTCATCTGTTTGGATGGCTGACAGCACCTCCCTTGTTTTCTCCTTAACCTCTTCTATGTCATCAAATCACTTTCCTTTCATATCTCTCTTCATTTGTGGAAACAAAGTCACACAGAGCAAGGTCAGTTGAGTCAGGTGCGTGGGCCACAAGAGGCATGCTGGTTTGGGTTTTGTTTTTTGTTTTTTTGCCAAATACTGGCGCACTAAGATGGCTGCATGAACCGGTGCTTTGTTGTTGTAGCAAAACCAGTCCCCCTTCTGCCACAAATCATTCCTTTATTGTCACATGTTATGCTATGTTTTCAGAACCTCTAAATAGAAAGTTTGATTAACAGTCTGGCCTGGTGGAGTGAATTCCAAATGCACTATGAGTCAACGTTTTCGTCTGTTCAGGAAGTTGCTGGATGTCCAGAATGAGGTTTTCATCAATCGACATTTCACCTTTTTTGAAAGAGAAAACCACTTGTGAACTTGAGTTTTTTCCCCATAACGCTGGCCTTATAAGCTGTGTTCAAAATTTCAACAGTTTCTGCAGCATTTTTCCCAAGCAGGAAACAAAATTCCACATACACATGCTGTTCTCTTAAATTGGCCATCACAAAAAATGAGGTTCCAGCAAAATTGCTTTCATGAAAAAATTCACTGTGACCACAGAGAACCTTCCCAAGTGACGTCACTGGGTACACTAACTCAGAGTTGCTTGATGCTCACCTAGTGGGACAAATGCATACTACAAAAGCTCCGCCCAGCAGAGCTTTTTTCCTGTTTTTGTTGGGGGTGGGGGGAGATTACCCCACATATATGCATATTCTTTGCAAAAGGTCTTAATATTATTGTTCACATAATGGGAATGAAGCTACAGCTTTCAAGTTTTGGCAACTAGATATCATTTTGGCTTATTATCACAAAACAATCACGTCCCACAGTGAACTAAATTCCTTTTTCAATGACGTGGGGTAGTTAGGTGTGATCATGGAGTGTGACACCCTCTTCAACTTGCAAGCTTTCTGGGTGTTTTAATTTTGATCACAAAGTTGTCTAGAAGACACCTGAGGTGACACAAATATGTGACACAAACTTTTCCCCTGCACCTTTGGATATAAGAACAGCACTAGCTGCTCAGGTGAAGAGGTTCCTGCAGTGGGCCTTACACTGATTTCCCACAATCGATGATTTCTGCAGGTCCATAATTCAAAGAACACCAACCACTTCCCTAAGGCTGTATGAATGCCTGTCTGACCCAGAATTTGAGCTGTCAGTGAGTGGGATGAGTTTGCCATCATGTGGCCAGAAAATAAGATAGACTCTGTTTTCGTTTCCCAGGAATTCCTTTACGATGTACCTTTGCTTCTCAGCCATAAAAATGAATAGTCCTTTTTATGTCTTGAACAAGGACTGCTTTTTACTCTTGACCTTGGATGTTCGCTTTGGCTAATGCTATCATCATATAGTGTTGCAGATGCCTGCTGTGGGTCCTAAGAGACTTGAAAACGTTCAAGGAAAAATTCCATGATCTTTTAATTCCATTTATTTGCACAAACTTCGAAAAGCCCTGCTAGGCTTCCTTGCACTTTCTAGATTGAAGTAATGTCCTGAGGGCTTAACCTAAATTGGAAAAAAAATAAATCCAGTTGCTATTGAACTGGTTCTGACCTGCTGCGTTTCAGAGTAGAACTACACTCTGCAGGATTTCCAATGGCTATAATCTTTGGAAGTACATTGCCAGGCCATTCTTCTGAAGACCCTGTGAGTGGACTTGAACCTCCAACCTTAATGGTAAGTCACTGAACATTAAACAATTTGCATCACTCAGAGAAAGGGCTCAACCTTCCAAACCCACCCCTCAGTGCCATCAAGCAGATTGCGACTCAGACTCCCTAGGACACGGTAGAGCTCCCCCCTTTAGATAATGTTATCGTCATGTAATGTGATGATCACGCAGTTGCCATGCGTCCAAAGTGATTTCATAAATTTCATGGAAAAAAATCGATAATCTATGAATTCCACCTTTCCACAAACTTTTCAGCCCCCTCAGATTGATTTCCACCACGTGTACATCAGTTTGTCACCGCAATAATGGGCTCAACCGTAGGGACAAGTGTGAGGAAGGCACAGGACGGGGCAGTGTGTCCTTCTGTTGTGCACAGGGTCCCTACAGGTCAGAACTGACTTGACGGCACCCAAAAGCATAACAGCAAAGAATGGCTTCGGGATTTTTAGACTTTAATTCTTCACGGGAGGACATAATTTCTTCTTTCTCCTGTGGAGCCACTGATGGATTCAAACTATTGACTTTGTGGTTAGTATCCCTATTCATAAATTACTACGACACCAGGGTTCCTTTGGCCTAACCTAGAGCTAATTAAATTTGTCCATATGGATATAAACCTACATGAGCACATACCAGGCTGACAGACCTTCCCAAAACAAAGTTCCTTTTTCTAGACATCTATCTGAATAATCTGTATGTAGCAACATTTTAAAATGTGAAGATTCTGAATCCTGAAATATTAAAACAGCACACATACATATATACCTCTATTATTTGTTTTTAGTGTAAAAGGATTTTTGAACCAGTTTTAATGTTTTGATTCTTCCTTTAGTTATGGATTCTGGCCAGCATGAAACTAGGAAATTTCAAGAGCACAGAGGCCCATTTCCCTGGCAAGTAGTCCTGGTGACATAGTGGTTATGTGTTGGGCTGCTAATCGCAAGATCAGAAATTCGAAATCACCAGCGGCTCCTCAGAAGAATGATGGAGATTTATACTCCTGTAAAGTTCAAGTCTCAGAAACTCATAGGGGCTGTTCTACCTTGTCCTACAGGGTTACTATGAGCCAATCAACTCAGTGAGAGTGAGTTTGGTTACTTGGGCTCTTTCACTCACTTTCTTCTATGATGACAGTAGATCTGGGAAAAGGCATGGTGTCTACCACACAACCAAAACAGAACTAGAACCTAGTGAACACCGTGGCTTCTCAAACTAAGGTAGGTTTCTCTCTCTTTCATTTTCCAAATGCAATAGGAAAACTCACCTACAAGAAAATTTTACACACACACACACAGAGAGTATTTTCCATCTCAGAAACACATAGTTTTGCTTACAGCTTGTCAGAAGAGTTCTATGGAGTTCAATCTTACAAAATTATCTGTTTCTTTATGGCTTTATTTTCTCCTTCCCAATGTACCCTAACTTCCTCACTAGCTCATTTTCTCTGCCTGCCCCATTCCCTTTGGAGATTGCAATGTTTCTGTGCTTCCTAAACACGAGCCTTCCTCCCCACTTTTAAATTGGGTCTGCTTTTTAAATTGGCCCCCTTTCCACTATCACAGCAGCCAAATTGTTTATCAGTGGTACTGAAGACTGTGCACTCACCAGAGAAAGAAAATGAAACCTCCATTGTAGGAGAGGTGAGATTGGTTACCAGAGAAGGACCAAAGTCTACATATCACGATCCACATATCTCAGTGCAACATCCAATTAGCAGCACCCCCTCCCATATTCTGGGCTTTCAAATCCTCCCAGCAGTACTGACCATATATTCAAATATGTGCTGTTGTCAACATGTGGGGAAAATCTTATTTTCATTTACTCATGAAAATACTTTGTGAGTTTGTGTTTGTGTGTGTGTGTTTCATTACCTTCCAAGACAAATCATTGGACGAGATGTTGACAATTTAATACTCTTACAGTGATAGTAATTAAAATGTCAGTGAGTGAGTGATTTGAATTTGAAGTGCTTACAAATACCACCAGTTAAGGTAAATTATCAAAACAGTTAGCGTGGAGGTTTAAGGACAAAAGAAAGCTCTTCTCCTGCTTTTGCTATGACAGGATTTACTTAGGGATTAAATCTCAATAAACAATTCAAGAAACCTTTCCCATCCACATTAGGGCAATTGGTAAGTACTCCATTCCTTGGCTAGGCAGTGCAATGTAGCAATCTGGTGTAGCACCACTAGCCACCCCATGAATTTCAGACTCAAGCCTTATATTTGCAAGTTATGGGACTCTGGGAAAGTCACAACTCCTCTTTGATCCTAAGTTCATAAATATTTATAAGTAAAGAGTAATACCTTCACAACTCTACACACTTCACCCCTTCCCTCAGTAAGTGAGACTATTTCATGGCATTCTAAGTTAAAGTCTAAAAACAATGTTTGCCTCATACTGGTGCACAATAAATGTTGGCTAAATCTAATGCTTCTTCCCAGTGGGTTACACATTGGTTTGCTAGCTACAAGGCTAGCAATTGGAGACCACCAGTCACTTCATGGAGAAAGACATGGCTTTCTACTCCTGTAAAGACTGACAATCTTGGAAAGCCACAAAAGCAGTTCTATTTTTTCCTCTAGGGTTGCTATGAGTTGGCAATGACTCAATGGTAGTGAGTTTGGTTTGGTTTGATCTGGAATTTCATTTAATTTAATGGAAAAAGCATTTACTGCATATATACTCTGTATCGTGCATTGTATAAATCTTGAGGATCCATATTTCAACTTTCAGTTAATAATAGCTGGCCTGTAAGTTTGAAAATTAAAAAAGAAACAATTTCCCAAGAAGGATGTCACATAAAGCATTCACTTTCTACTCCTTGTTTGGTCATATTTGGCCATCTCCAGATATTAGGAGCTATACCCAAGGACACTAGACAACTCCATGGTAAGGCTCTGATGTGCACATTTGTGCTTTAAGCAGATTTTTCAGTAAGTGAATCGAGGGGGGCGGGGAGAAAGAATTTAAAGGGAATCCCCAGTGGTCAGTTGACCCAAAGTCAGTCATTTAACCCAACCAGTCACTCCCTGAGAGTGATGATGGAGTCTGCTTCTATAAAATTTGCAACCTCAGAAACCCTATTCTATAGTGCTCTATAGTTCTACCCTGTCCTATAGTGTCAGTATGGGTTGAAATCCACTCTCCAGGAGTGGGTTTGGTTTCTTTTCTTTCTTTTGGATAATTGAGAGCTTTCATGAATCTGACCAGCTCCTTAGCCCAAACACCTAACAAGTGGGTGATTTTCTTGATTTGCAGATTCCTGAAGTTGTGAACATATAGCTGTGGAAAAGATCATCTATGAAGACTTCAAAAAGTTTGTGGAAAAGTGGGATTCAAAGACAATCGATTTTTTTCCATGAACTTTTCAAAGCCCCATCATATCTACATTTACAGGTCACAGACGATTAAGAAATGATGGGAGAAGCTTGCTCAGACGTAGGTACCAGTCATTATATTAGAAAGTGGGTTCCTACCAGCACTACTCCAATCATTCAAACATATCACAGCAAAGCAAGACAGTGTTTTCTTGCCACAATATGAAAAAATACCCAGGCAAAATGCCAATAGACCTTTACTAGCCAATTTTCTGCCAATCATCCTTCCACTGCAAGAGTAACAGGATTCAGAGAGAGCAAGCATTTAAATCTACCTCCACTTTCCCTGGGGCTCAATGGTAGACATAATTACAGTCAAACTTACCTGCATCAGCAAAGAGGGCTCCAGATTAGGCTTTTGATACCTGCTGTGGGGTAAGTTGCTAAAAATGTGTAGAGTTCTTTATCATGAAATTAAAGATTAACTGGGTAACGCACTTTACTCCTCATTTCAGAAGCCAAACTGGCCTCAGAAAGAGAACGATGAAATGAGCCTATGAAAATCAAGTTTTCTCATTCCCCATTCCTCTCAGGACATTAACAGCACTGGGTCCAGATTTGACTTTGGGTGGTTTACTCTGGACGATCCCAGCTGTAATGTTTGAAACAGGCAGAATTCACAGCTTGATTTTCACTTTCATCAGAGCTTGCCTTTGCAGAAGTGAGAACAGAAAAGAAACGTAGGAGAATAAAATGACCATTCAGGTGCTAAAGGACAGCACTTAGATATTTCTCAATTGGGTTTCCTTATCTTTAAACTGGGAGCATAAGTGCATTTCTTTGAAAAATATTTTCTCTCGAATTGGTTGTCTGGTCATTTTATTAGAGTCTGCTCCACAGGGCTGACAGGAAAGTTCTTCTGGCAGCAGTGAGTCCACATTAGCACATAAGCAAAGCATTCACCTTTATATCTAGCATATGAATACTCGACTTCAGCATCTTCTAGCGGTGAGTCTCCAGATCCTACAATAAAAACAAACAAACAGAAAGTGCAGCAAGAAAAGCCACAAGGTATTGATGCCTCTTTCAAAGCACTGACTTGCTATAGTTCATGCAAGAGGGGCTATTAGAACGCATAACCCAGAGCAGAAAGCTTCTGTGGCCATTCATTAAGGGAACTTCTCAGAGTGAGTGAATTTGCCTTTGCCAAGAATGTTAGAGCCAATCAAAATGAGCCTCCAACTGTTTTGGAATCACAACATGCCAAATGAAATTCTGGAAATGGGATATATAGAGAGTCAACTGCACTCTGAGAAGATGCCAATGTACATGAATCCTGTGCCAGGGGAGACGCAGTAAAATATGTGTGACTCAAAATATTTTGCCAGTACCCAAAGAAAACTCAACAGAACTGGATGTTGATGGCACCTGACAATCAGTAAGTATAACTAATGATATGAATTTGTGTTCAGAGGATAATGATGGCAAATAAAATGTCTTATCCTACTGAAACAGGAAATGCAAAGCTGATTTAGTCTATGTGTAGGAAATAAGGGCTTAAATTGAGGAAGTAAATGTTTATTCAGAACTTCTCATCAGGCAAAACATCATTAGAATTTCTTGATGAATCTTGATACCCTTAAAAGCATAAACTCAAAAGGTCTGTGGTTATTATTTTAAATTTTAAACTCATTTGACAGTTGGAACAGAATCATTCTTAGAATAGTACACACTGAATGCTAGGGGACACTGGGCCCTTATCCCCCTTGAAGCTATAGCAGGTATTGAACTTGAAAACAGTAATCTGGAATTCAGAGAACATTCCCGCTAGACATAATATTACCCTGGACTCTTAGCTTATTACCATCCTAGTCAGACATTCACCTAGAGGTACCTGAAACCACAATAGGCAAGGATACTTTCTACTATGGGGTCATTCACAATTGACGAAGTATGAGTTACTGAGTAATGGTCTGTGTTACACTTGTACTTTGAATGATAGAGGTAGAGAGTAGAAATCGAAAGTAAGGGGGCAATGAACATAAGAAAAATTAATCTGTAAAGGATGCCCCAAACAAAGAAGCCCAGTTCTGTTTCCATCTGTGCTATAGGTTTCCCCATTTGGTCTCTGGCCATCCAGGTTGGTACAAAATTGTACACTGCTCATTACACCATATCAAAAATTGAACATGAAAAATAGTATTACCCTTTAGGAAAGGCATTGAACAACATGAATCAAAGCTTATTTCAAGCCCTTGGATCCAGCCATTTCAGTTCTGGAAATTTATCCCAATGAAATATTAAGCCCAGGGGAAAGTTCTATACACAAAGATTTCTTTGCAATGTCATTTAAATAGCAAAAGACTATGGAAGCAACCCAAATAGTCAATCTGGTGCATAAATAAACTTTTTTACGGGAAGCTCCTGGGTTACAAATATCTGACTTCTGGACAACTCCTACTTGCCCTTTAATGTTAGGTAAAGTTGCCCTCACTTTGAAATGCTTGAATTAACCTCTCCAACCCAAAAATCCACTGCTGCCAGGTCAAATCAATCTGACTCATTATGCCCCTCTCAGGTAGGGTAGAATTGGCCCTATAGGGTTGCCAAGGCTGCATTTTTACAGATGCAGATCAACCAACACATTTTTACCTTGTGGAAAGGCTGATAAGTTCTAACCACCAACCTTTCAGTTTGTAACCCAGGGATTGTCTGTATATTCACTGGACACAATACAACACAACCCAAAACTCCTTGCCACAGAGTTGAATCCAACTAATAGTGAGCCCATACACACACACACACAAACATATATGTATATGATTATATCTATAGTGACCCTATATATATATTGGACCCAATATATATATTCGGACCCTATCCGAAGCTGTAAATTTTTACAGGAGCAGATGGCCTTATTATTCTCCCTCAGAACAGCTGGTTGAGGTGAACAAATGATCAACCTTGCAGTTAGCAATCATAGCCATTAAAAATACAATTTATGAATACAATGTGATAGCATGAGAAAAAAGCATACAACATTAAATGAAAAAGTACTATAACACTATTAGATAAATGGTATGATTTATAAAAATATAAAGCACATTTTAAAAATTCATAAAGTCATTACAATTGATTTTCTTCACCCAGTTCTTCTAAATTTTCTGATGTGCATGTATTACCTTAAGAATGGAAAAAATAAACTTTGTTTTAAATATTATTAATACAACTCATAGAAGCTAGTTCCCAATATATCTTCTCAAGAGAAAACAAATATTTAAGAATCTATGTTTCCTTTACCACCCTGTCCTTACTTCTTCCCATGTTCAGAGCTGAAATAGGTCTCATCTGTCTTCTAGGAACTCTGGGATACTCCAACTCTATGTGGCACATTTCTACGTGTCTAGAGAGCTATGTCCTAGCAAGACCACTTCCTTCTTCCTGCAAATCATCTTAGCCTCTTTGTGATCAACCTAAAAAGGCTACGGACAGAGTTCAGTGCACAGAGTGTTTATCACTGTTGCATTCCTATGCTAGTAGGAAAGAAAGTGGATTGGAGCAGAAGTCAAGCTGTGATGTGGCACCAACAACAGCGTTAGCTAACACCATGAGGAACTCTGAAACTAAAAATGGAGAGTCCACTTCAAGATGGCCAACTGATAGCACAAGGAATGAACCCCTTTCCAACAGTCAGGAGGAACACATCAAGAATGAGAAAATGAAGTGCAAGTAATCATATTAAATGACCCAACAGATAAGAGATTCAGAGTTAGTGGGCATGACCGAGGGGAAGTGGAAAGGTTAAATATCCCTGAGATGCCTAGCTCTTCCTCCTGCTGGACCAAGCCATTAATTTTACAGAAGACTTGAAAGTCCTCCTAACTTCCCAGCTGCCATGCACTCCATACACTTGGCTCCCAGACTGCCCATGTAGTTCCAGATACTACTCCCTCTTGAAAGGTACAAGCCCCACCCTGTCCACAATGACTCAGCTCATGACAGCCCTGAGAAACTTCTCCATCTCCTACCACTCCACTCTATGCCCCCACTTCCAGACTGGCATCCAGTCTAGACCTATTCTAACCAGCCCCAAGACCAGATCAGGCAGAGTCGCTTGCCCCTAGGCACTGGTTGTACCCTTTCAACTGGTCCTCACCCCTTGTGCTTCCAGCCCAGTCCCTGAACCCTAGGCTTCCCATCCTTCTCATGAAAACACACTTTTCTCTGCCCACACTAGTTACAATGCTTCTAGGCAGAGCTTAGACCACCCCCAAACAAACACTTACAACTCCTTTTTTTTCTGCTCTATTTTCTTTATCCCTCTCTTCCTTTGTCCGTTTCTTTAAAATAAAAGCTTGTACTATGTTTATAATTCTTTTTCAATTGGTACTGCCCTTCCCTATGTTCTTTCAAAATAAGAAAAATGTAATTTTTACTAATTTTACAATTCTTAAATTAACACTCCAAGATACCCCCCAGTTTCTCTATTACTTTCCCTTACATTCTTTTTTATATCTCCCCTCTCGCCTAGTCTCTCTTTTCTCTTGTTTAGTTCTGAAGTAGCTCATATTTCTCTACTACACCACTCACCAGCACAGTATACAGTCTTCTCCAGTGCACATGGAACATTGTCTGGAATAAATCACAATAGGTCACAAATCAAGTTGTAACAAACTCCAAATTATGAAAATCCATTTTCTCAGAACACAAGGCTATATAAATAGGAATTGAAAATAGAAAGAGCAAGAATGGAAAGAGCAGGAACGTAAAGACACATGGCAGAGTGAACACATGGAGACTGAACATCATGTTACTTTAAAATGCCTGGGTAATAGCTCAAATAAGGGATTAAATTAAGAGATTTCCTGAAACAAATGAGAATGATAATGCAACATACCATCAACTGAATTGAAGGAAACTATTAATCCAATAGAGACAGGCATCATCATGTTTGGTAAAGAAGAAGGTCAATGAAAAAGAACAAAACCCTCAAGAATGCTGCACACACTATGGCTGCAATAATGACTGCAATAATGGGGTCAACCATAATTGTGAGGATGGCACAGAACAAGGCAGTATTTTGTTATGTTCTAAATAATGTTGCTATGAGTTGGAACTGACTTGACATTTAAACACAACAACCACTATCAAGAATGGAAGGGAAAAAATAGATGAACTATTGCTAATTAAAAGAACAAACTATATACATATATATTATGAAAAAATATAGCATGAAAGAGTGTATATATATACATACATATATATACACACACATATATATATATAAAATGAAGTGACTTCAAAAAGTTTGAGGGAAAACAGAATCAAAAGAAAATTGAATTTTTCTATTAACTTTTTGAAGCTCCCTCATGTTTATATTTATACTCATACATATGTAAAACTTTTAATATGACAAAGTGGAATTATTAATCAGTGAAAGAAAAAGTAAATAAATATGGTAGACTTAATGGGCTATCTTATACCATAACAATTCCACATAGATTGAAAAACTTAACTTTGAAAGTAAAATCTTTGAGAAAAAAGAAAGGATATCTTTATAATAATGAAGTAGGAAAAGATTATTTAACTAAATCATGCAAAACACAATTCATAAAAATTATATTGATTTATTTTGTTATATTAAATTGTAAAATTTCTGTAAAATATAATACACACAAATTATAAGACTAATCCTAGACTAGAGGAAAATATATGTCATATATGTAACACTGAATTCCTATCCATAATGTATACATGAATACATAAAGGCACTAGCCCAAAAGGGGAAAAATTAAGACAGATGTGACCAGGTACTTTACCTAAAATAATATAACCTGAATATGAAACAAATGCCACAAAATGTTAATATGGAAGAATATGCAATCTCACTAATATGTCATAGAAACAAACATTAAAAACAAAAAATTCACATCCATCACATCGAAAAAAATTAAACAGAAGAGGATGTAACACTCAGGTTCTGCTAGTGAAAGCGAAACTTGTAAATCTACATTGAAGAGAAA